AATGCTATTGAGGAGGATGATTGAAAAAGTGGGCATTTATTTGATCGGATACCAATTTTTTTATTTTCAAAATAGTTATACTTTATCCCATTGTTTTAACAAAACAATTTTTATTTATTAAAAATGAAAATTTTTTTGTTACTTTAGAAGAAAAAGTTATTTTTCGGAAACTGTTATAAATCTTGGCCTTAGAATGATTGTCCTTATGGGACTTTTGTCTGACCTCTGTAATTTTTTTGTTTTACTGTTAACACATGGCACGTTACTATTTTAAGTCTTAATTCTAATTTTCGTGGACAAGAACTTCCAAAATAATTCCTTTTAAATATTTCACAGGAAGACAGGTGAAAATGTATTAAATGATTTTTTTTGTAAGGTAATATAATTTCTACAATTCCGGAACAATAAAAATATTGTTATGAGCAGAATTACAAGAAAATCGAACACTAATATTCAATTTTATGGGAAATCATAAATTCCATATCATCTTAGGGTTCTGGTTGATAAAAATATTTAGATATAGCAAATTGTACAGAATCGAAGAGAAGTTGGAGCTTATTTCCCTTTCTTTGAGCGTCTTGTTTATCAAAAGCTTGAACCCTATGTGGGGGAGGTACCAGAAAAAATGGTCCGATCTCTACCATCTTTATAACATCTTGTGTTGATGGAAATATTGAGATGTACCAATTCGGAATGGAATCGGATGTTAATGTCGCGTTTTATGAGCTTCATGGATATTCAAAATTTTAAGACTTTGTGGGTGAGGTACCAGAAGGAGTGAACTAATATATCCCATCTTCAAAACAGATCTTCTGTTAGTAGAAATAATGGGATATGTGAAATATAAAGATAACCTGATATTTATTTCGGATTTTGTGAGAGATATAAATATTCAAAGTTTTGATCCCTTTGTGCGTGAGGTTCTTGATGGATTGTACCGATATTTTCCATTTTGCACGTAACCTAAAACTGATGCAAATATTAGGATGTGCAAAGTTGGAGCAAAATCGGATTATCGCTTCTTTTTCTGTGCAGAAAATACTTTTTTTTTGAAAATGTCGACCTTTTTGTGGGGGAGGTACCAAAAGGAGTGGACCGATACATTCCATGTTCACACCAGATCTTGGATTAAAAAAAAATATTTGGATGTGGAATTTGAAATTTGAAGACAATCGGACTCTTACATCACATTTTATAAGATTTGTAATTATTCAAAAATTTGACCCTTCGTGGGGGGAGGTACTTGATGGAGTCGACCGATATTATCCATTTTTGCACCTGAACTAGAATTGACGCAAGTATTAGGATTGGAGCAAAATCGGATTATTGTTTTCCTTTCTGTGCAGTAAAATATTTTTTGAAAATTTCGATCTTTTGTGGGGGAGGGGCCAGAAGGGGTGGACTGATATTGCCCATCTTCCAATTCGATCTAAGTTTGATAAAAATATTACGATGTACCAAGTTTTGACCAAATCACATACTCCCTTCGAGTGTCAACGTGCGCACCAGCCAGCTAGACAGACGGACGAACGGACATCGCTAGATCGACTCCAAATGTCCTGAAACGTTATTTCGACTAGGCACGTCTTGACCGTATCAAATGATATATACCCTCTCTAGCCATAAGGCTGAGGGTATAAAAATCTTCAGCCACTAAATCACAGAGCTATCATCGTCGTTTTATTAAAACATGCGTCAATCACCAACAAACTAGTGCACTAGTGTTTTTTTTACGAATTGTTTTTTCAAAGACTTTGAGAGGTGATAACGTGGACTAATATCGATTTTTGAAGAATATTTTATAGACCATTAACATTTCTACAGATCAGGATTTTGAGGATTTTTTTCTTCAAAGACTGTAGGAAATATATTCGTCCAAGAGAGCTATAATCGTGTTTAAAGGAATGTTTTTTCAACATCTAGCAGTGCCAAAAAGCGTAATTTTTTTTTTATAATTTTTTTAAGACCTATAATCTTAGATTTTTAAGAAATATTTTCAAAGGTCTATCAGATTATTTTGTCGTACATTTAGATTTTTCTTTAGCCACTACAACTAACGTGACTTTTTTAGGATATTTTTCGAAAGCTATCGTATCTATAACCGTGGATTCTTTTAGACATTTTTTAAAGAACTTTCTAAACTAAAGTCTTATATTCGTGGATTTTTAAAAGAATATTTATTGAAATTCTATCAGAGCTAAAAAGCGCAGACTTTTTTACGATTTTTTCCACAGCTATAATCTTAGATTTTTAAGAAATATTTTGAAAGGTCTAACAGACCATTATTCGTAGATTTCGAGAAAAAAAAATCATCATTGATTTTTCTTTAAACACTACAATTTACTTCTACTTTTCAAGAATATTTTTTCGAAGGCTATCAGATCTTTTAAGAATTTTTTAAGGGAATATCAAAACTAAAGCCTTAGATTCGTGGATTTTTAAAAGAATATTTATTGAAATTCTAGCAGAGCTAAAAAGCGTAACCTTTTTTACGAATTTTTCCAGAGTTATAATCATTAGTCGTAGATTAAAAAAAAATAATTATGGATTTGTTTAAATATTTTTTTAATGACTAATATTTGCAATTTTTTAAGACTATGTTTTTACTGGTAGCAAAGCCAAAAGTGTAGATTTTTCTGATTTTTTTCTAGAGATATAGGGTAGAAGTAGGTTTCTAAGAATTTTTTTTAAATCATCGATTTTATTTAGAATTTTATTATTTTTTACATTTTTTTTTAAAGACTGTCCGATTTTTTAAGAAATCTTTTTCAAAAACTACTAGGGCTAATAATAATAATAATGGATTTGTTAACATTTTTTTAAATATTTTTTAAAGACCATCTGACCAAAAGCCAAAAAGCGTAACCTTTTTTACGATTTATTCCGGAGCTATAATCATTAGTCGTAGATTTTGAAAAAAAATAATTATGGATTTTTTATATGACTGTCCGACCAAAATATGTGATTTTCTAAGAATATGTTTTTACTGGTAGCAGGGCCAAAAGTGTCGATTTTTCATTCTTTCTAGAGATATAAGTTAGTAGTTGGTTTCCAAGGATTTTTTCAATCGTCGATTTTTAATTTTTTTTTTTTAATGACTGCCCAATTTTTAAGAAATATATTTCAAAAGCTACTAGGGCTATAATAATGGATTTGTTAAAATTTTTTTTTAATATTTTTAAGACCATCTTATATTCGTGGATTTTTAAAGTAATATTTATTGAAATTCTAGCAGAGCTAAAAAGCGTAACCTTTTTTTAGGAATTTTTCCAGAGCTATAATCATTAGTCGTAGATTTAAAAGAAATCATTATGGATTTTTTTATATATTTTTTAATAACTGTCCGACCACTATTTGTATTTTTTTTGTTTTTACTGGTAGCAGAGCTAAAAGTGTAGATTTTTCAGATTCTTTCTAAAGATATAGGGTAGAAGCAGGTTTCTAAGATTTTTTTTCAATCGTCGATATTATTAATATCGTCGATTTTTAATTAGTTTTTTTAAGAAATATTTTTCAAAAGCTCATAGGCCTATAATAAGGGATTTATTAACATTTTTTTTTAATATTTTTTAAAGTCAAGCTCAACAGGGTCTTCTTTCCCCGCTAATTATTCCAAGCCCGTTCCCTTGGCTGTGGTTTCGCTAGATAGTAAATGGGGACCAAAAGCCAAAAAGAGTAACCTTTGTTACGATTTTTTCCGGAGCTATAGATTACGAAAAAAATCATCATGGATTTTTTTAATAACTGTCCGACCATATTTGTGATTTTTTTAAGAATATATTGAGCCAAAAATGTATATATACCCTATAAATATAGGGTAGCAGTAGGTTTCTAAGATTTTTTTTTCAATCGTCGCTTTTTTAAAAATTTTAATTTTTTAATTTTAATTATTTAAGTATTATTTTTATTAACAATTTGTTTTAATTTCAATTTTAGGACCATCTGACCTGTAATCGGGACTTCATTATAATTTTTTTACAAATATTTTTCCAAGGTTATGAGAATAATCGTCGTAAACTCTCAAATATTTTTGAATTCCCAAGTTATGATTTTGGATTGTTGAAGAAATTATTTGGAAAACTATTAGAGTTTTTAACTTTAGTATTTTTAAATATCCTTTTCCAAACACGAACATATTTTTTTTACATTTTTCCAATCGTGTAATGTTTAGAATTTGTCAAGGCTTATTAAAGCTATAATCATAATTTCTGTGAATTTTTCTACCCCCAAAAAATCATTATTTCGAATTTATTAAATATTTTCTCCAAAATAAATATTTTACCAAAAAAATTGTTGATATTTTAATTCTGCTCATATTGACGGTGTTTTTACTACAGTTCTCAACTTTTTTCCGAACATTTGTTTCTAACTCGAGTTTTGGGACATCTTGATACGAAGCATTATTTTCATGAATGAAATTCACAAAATTTTCAAAATACTTTATCCAATTTTATTTCTGTTATATAACACCATCTACGATTCAGCTGCTTAAATCTAGCAGCTGTTAACAAAACCACGAAAAACTCGAAATTTTTTCGAAACACCCAAATTGTTCTACGAAATATTTGTCACTTTTGGTACGTGGGTATATGGTTAAAAATTGGAATAAAATAACATCCTACACAAAGGCTGCAGATAAATATTCCACACATATATCATGCTTCAAAGGGGAAGCGAAAATCTGTGCCTAGATATGGGAGCTCAACACCACTCGCACACACATTTAGGCCGTCACAATTGTGACGACGATGGCCGAAAAAAGAACGAAAGACGAACTTTAAACACAACAACAACAAAAAATCAATCGTAACTGGGGATTTTTATGAATGAAAATTTTAGCACTCACACGCACACACGGAGAGCGAGAAGGAGATAAACACAAACACACACACAGAAGAGACGTCATGGCCCGGGTAATATTTTTCTTTAAACCAAGCTAACACATATATGTGTGTGTATATGGTTAGCCTATCCTAGCCAGCTAGAGCTGTTGAACTTACCTTTGTTAAGACTTTTAAGGCTGCTGGAACCACTGCTGCCGCTGCCAAGGGCATTATAGAGTTTCTGGGAATTTTGACGATTCTGTTGGGCATTGGAGGCCAATTCGGAATTTTGCACCAAAACAGATGTTGGCACAGAAGCAACAGTTGCTATTAAGGCCAATGCCAGATAGAGCCTCAGATTGAATTCCGGTCGCGATTGGTGGTAATGCATTTTTGTTTTTTTTGGGGGGTTTTTTTCTTTTTCAAAATTTAATTTTTATTTATTTAAATAATTTTCGAATATTTTTTGAAATAGTTCACTTTACACTTCACTTTGTTTTTATGGGAGGAGAAAAAAATAATTGTATTTTTATTTTTTGGGTATTTTTTATTTTAGTTCGTTTCGTTTTATTTCTGCTTATGGTTTGGTTCGTTCGAAGAGGATATGTTTACAGCACCAGAGTCCTGAATGAACTGCTGAAATATTTAACAAAGCAACAGTTTTTATTGTCTTCTTGGCCTCAATTTTATTTTTGTTGTACCTACCTCTACCTACCAATCGTTTGTGCCGCCGCACACAAACGCAGAAAGCTTGTTGCTGTAGCTGTGGCTGTGGCTGTTGTCGTAGTCGTTATCGTTGTTGTCCTCCTAAACTGGCCCCTGTCGTCTCTGTTTTTCTGCTCTGTTCGCTTTCGTATGAATTTCATTCACGCCACGAAGTTAGGAAGAAGAACTTGGCCAACTCCTTACCCAACCACCCACAACAATTTAGCAGCCTCCCAAGAGAACACACACACACTCACACACACCAACTCATCGAAAAACGAAAACAACATCCCCGGCCAAAAATCACATCACATCCAAAGCAAACAAGAAGGCCTTACCATCATCATCATCATCATCGGCTCGCCAGCTGCAGCAGCAGCAGCAGCAGCAGCCACACCGCAAAGAATGGCTCATTTTCACTTGGAGCTCTGTTATCTACGTCATTGATGGGCCTGAGCACTGAAAGCAAGAGCAAAAAAAATGTTTCCCATTCAAATCTGTTGTTTGAATTTCAGAATACCCTGGCTCGAATGGTGTTGAGCCTTAACAGCTTACCACACACATTTGCACACTTACACGTACACACACACACTCAAAGAAAAGCAAGCACGTAAAAAGTGTATCGTCATTTTTGGTTCTTCCCCAACACTTGTCGGCAATGGGTTGCCATTAGTTATGGGTTTGGCATTTGGTCGGAATGACCAAAATATCCAAAAATATTTTTGTTTCCTTTTTTGCAACCCCTTACAGAGCCATAAGTGCGGACTTTTTAAGCATATTTTTTTCAACGCCTAGCGGTGCCTTAGCGTGGGTTTTTAAGAAAAATTTTCAAACTCCTTCAGATTATAAGCGTAGATTTTTAAGGGATATTTTTTCAACGCTTAGCGGTGGCATGAGAGTAGGCAGAGCCATGGGTGTGTATTTTTAATGAACAAGTTTTCAAAATCTAGAAGAACCAGGACCGTAAATTTTTTTTGCAATCACTAGTAGAACCAAGAGCGTGGATATTACGCATATTTTCTCTGTATCCAACAAGCCTCTTAGCGCGATTTTTTTAAAAATATTTTTTGAACTCTGGCAGATGCATGAGCGAGGATTGTTAAAGGAATATTTTTTCAAACTCCAGGAGCGTTGATTGTCCATATTGGTTGTTGGCCCGAGTCTAATCCAGGTCTTGGACCCTGATTTTTGGATCAACTACCCGGGTATCCGGGTCCGTTCCCCAAGAAAAAAAATACTTTATCGGAATCAGGGTAAATATGCCTACCTCTGGTATTTAAAAAAATCCGAAATTTTTTTAAGCCAACAATCGAACTTTTGGTCATATTATTTTAGGGTATTTACATGTTTTCAAATAGAGAAAGTTGGCAACCCTGCCCCAGATTTACGTCGTCGTTATCATTATCATTTTCCCACTATACAGACACACTCACATAGATATGTACTTAAATGCACAATGGCTCCGTGATGCTTGAGGTACTTACCTATCTATCTGTGTGTGTGTGTGTGTGTCTCTGATTAAAAAAGCTATTCGAACATATGGTGGGCCGGTATTCGGATCATGCGCATTTTAGCCATATATTTTGGCCTAAAACTTTTAGGTTAATGAGAGGAGCTACCTCAAAACACACAAAAAAAAACTCTGTGGGTTGTTGTCTATACTATACATGTTTATTTCTGCTGCTACCTTTTTTAGTCCCCGATGAATGAGTAAATGAATGAAATGGTGTTGTGATGATGCACCACACTGTGTTTTTTTGTGGTCAGCGTTTTTTCCATGATGCAATTGCTGGAGCTTTTTTCAAAAACCAACAACTACAATAAGAACAATAAAGGACGATTTTAAAGGGAAATTTTTCTGTTGGGCAATGGTGAATGGAAAATCAGCTATTGTTTTTATACCCTCCACCATACTATGGAGGGTATATTAACTTTGTCATTCCGTTTGTAACTCCTCGAAATACTCATTTCAGACTCAACAAAGTATATATATTCTTGATCAGCGTAAAATTCTAAGTCGAGGTAGCGAGTCCGTCTGTTGTAATCACGCTATCTTTCAAACGAATCGAGATAGAAGGCTACAATTTTGCACACATGTTTATTTTTCCAGTAAGCAGGTTAAGTTCGTAAATGGGCCATGTAGGTCCACGTTTTCATAAAAAGCCCCCATATAAAGATACCTCCCGATATTCGGTATTTTGATGATTTTAGCGATATTATTCACCGGAATTGTTTAAAATTTGGTATTTGAAGTTCGAAATGGATACTACAGCCTACGACAGAAAATTGTCTCCCTATATTCGGTATCTTGATGATTTTAGCGACATTATTAACCGGAATTTTTTTTAAAATTTAGTATTTGAAGTTCGTCCACGTCTTCGTATAGCCCCCATATAACGGTACCTCCTCCCAATATTCGGTATTTTGATGATTTTAGCGTCATTATTCACCGGAATTGTTTCAAATTACTTATTTAGAGTTCGTAATGGGAACTACAGTCTGTGACGGGAAATTGCCTATGAAGGTCCAGGTCTTCGTATAGCCCCCATATACCAGTACATAGGTAGATGGCTTATATGATCATCTACTGGAGTGTGGATAGCCATATGACCATTTACTGTAGAGTAGATGACCTATATGATCATCCATTGGAGAGTAGATGACTTATATGGACATATACCAAACACTAGATGATCTATAGCATCATCTACTGGAGAGTAGATGGCGTATATATTCATCTACTGGAGAGTAGATGAGCCATATGACCATCTACTGGAAAGTAGATAAGCCATATGAGCATCTACTGGACAGTAAATGACCTTTATGATCACCAAAGAGTAAATGACTTATATATCCATCTACTGAAGGCTAGATGACTTATATACATGATAGCAGATGACCTATATGGCCATGTGCTGTATAGTGGATGTCTCTCATGGCCATGTGGTGGACATTAGATGAGCCATATGATAATCCACTGGAGAGTAGATGTCCCATATGACCATCCACTGGACAGTAGATGACCTATATGACCATCTACTTGACCGTAGATGACATATATAACCATCTACTGGAGAGTAGAGCTATGAATCTTCCTACAATACGTCACCTTAGATCTATTGAGAGCTATTGGAAGGCCAATGAGGCAGCCTTTCTATGAGAAGAGCTATATATCTTCCATGTGAAGTCCTCCATAAGACATACTTCTAATCTTTTGTAAGAAGATCAATTGGCCCGCTATCCTGTAAGTCCCCTTAAATATGATTTCATTTGATTTTTTTTTTTTTCAAAATACCTATTGATCCTCTACTGAAGGCCTAAATTCTTTTCACAAATGTTCTTCAATCTATAGAACTTATGAAAGTTTTTTTATGGCTGGCTCGGCAAGGACTTCCCATTAGCTTCCTGTGAAGATTCCCCATTCTTTTGTTGATAGACCAACAATAAAACACTTCATTTATTATTAATTTTTAATATTTTTGTTTTATTATATTGTCTGCAATAAAAGACCTATTGGTCTCTTGGGGAAATACGGATTAGTCTTCGATGAGAAGGCCAATTCTTCTAATTTTGATCTTCTTTAAGAAGAGATATGAATCTTCCTACAATATGCCACCTTAGATCTATTGAGAAGACCTATTGGTCTTCTTTGGAAAGTCCTATGAGATAAGTTGTTGGAAGACTAATAAAGCGGTCTTTTTATGAGAAGAGCTATAGACCTTCCATATGAAGACCTATATGTTTTCTATAATACGTACTTCTAATCCTTTGTAACAAAATCAATAGGACCGCAATCCTATCAGTCTTCTTGAAGATGATTTCATGGTATTCTTTCAAAATACCAAGAGACATAAATTCTTTTTACAAATGTTCCTAAACCCATAGATCCTGTGAACGAATTTTTATGACTACCCCGGCAAGGACTTTTACCTTTTCCATTCTTTTGTTGATAGACCAACAATAAAACACTTATTTTATTATTAATTTTTGTTTTATTATATTGTCTGCAATAAAAGGACCTATTGGTCTCTTGGGGAAATACGGATTAGTCTTCGATGAGAAGGCCAATTCTTCTTATTTTGATAATCTTTAAGAAGACCTATGAATCTTCCCACAATACGTCACCTTACATCTATTGAGAAGATCTTCTTTGAAAAGTCCTATGAGATGTGTTATTGAAATACCAATGAAGCGGCCTTTTATGAAAAAAGCTATAGACCTTCCATATGAAGACCTACATGTCTTCTATAAGTTGTACTACTAATCTTCTGTAAGAATATCAATTTGTCCGCAATCCTATAAGTCCCCTTTTGAGATGATTTCATGTTATTTTTTCAAAATACCTATTAATCCTCCAAGGAAGACGTAAATTCCTTTAAATTCCTGGACCGCATTCCCATAAGTCCCCTTAAAGATGATTTCATTATATTTTTTCAAAATACCTCTTGATCCCCTAAGGATCTAAATTATTTTCACATATGTTCTCCAACCTATAGAACTCATTTTTAAGACTACCCAGGCAAGGACTTGCCATTACCTTCCTGTAGCGGGTTCCCCAGTCTTTTGTTGATAGACAAACAATAAAAAACTTTTTTTATTATTAAATTTTAATATTTTTTTTTGTTTTATATATATTTTCTCTACAATGGATTTAGTTTTTGGTCTACAAATTCATATCCATAATACAGCAATAGAATGTGGAAAGGTGTGTGTGTTTGTATATATTTTCTTGTGTGTGTATACAGTACAGAGATTATTCATTATCAATAGGGGGAGAGGGGGAGTTTGTTAATTATTAAATTACTTATTATTTTTATAGCTTTATTGCTAGGCCCTTTAATACAACCAAGTGGCATATTTCTGTCATTTTTTCAAATAGTTACACAAGCTAATTTTTCTCAATACGAAATACAAAATTATTTAACAATTGGAGTTGTGGGTTTTTCAACTACATATATAACTTGTGTAATTTATTTATTATGGTTTATATTGATGTGATGTTAAAATAAGAACTGGGAAAGGGATGTTGAAAGCAGAACTTAATTGTTAAAAATTTGATAGTATCTTACAAACGGAAAATGTTTTTGCTAATTCTACTACATATATAAATATATAGATGGTCAATAATGTTAGGATTTTAGTTTGGGTTTGCTATAAATATAGGATATATAATAGGGAGGGAGAGGAGTTTAACATAAAACATAAGGGAGGAGTCATATTAGTATATTAGTTTTGGGGGGGGGATGATATTTGGAAGCGCTCTGAGCTATTTGGGTATTGTATGAGTGACACCATACATAGCCTTGAAAAAAAAATACATTGGATTTTAAAACAAAAATGATTTCTATAACAAATATGAACATAAAACAAAATAAAAATATATATGTTTAATAAAACTATTTTTTTTTTTAATTTATGCCTTACTACTTATTTCTCAACACGGGTTTTTTTTTTTTTGTTGCCATAATTGAGGAACCTTTTTTTTGTATTGTATAAAAGCTTGCATCTTTATACAACCGCAAATGATTTTCTGACAATCTTTGGACTCTCATTTAATTCCATCATCTTCTCTTTAGAATCTCCAAAATAGATGCCTTCAAGTCTTTCTTGTTGTTAAGTACCACTTACAAAAATTTAGGTTTTTTTATATTTTTAAAAACGCTTATTTTATAAGAGTTCTACATTTTGTTTATGCTTTCCAGTTAGGGGCTACAGAATAGGCATTTACATTACAAAAAACTGCAACTACATGGGTGCTGCCAACTATAACTTCTTTACAGTTAATTGCTGTGTGTGTCCGAAAAAAAGAATGTCTCCTTGTCGGCGTTCTTACAAAGATTACGTTAATTTTGCACTGTCATCCAATGTCTGGACAATGTGCTTTGACACTATGGCGGTTGCCTCACTGGCATTGGGTATTAGAAACCGGTCCATATCGGTTATGAGCAGGCCATCACCATCGGGGAAACCATACTTAAATGTTATCAAATCACGATGGCGTTTTTTCGCCGTTATCTTAACAATGCTGGCCAATGGCCGTCGCACAATAATCTGGGCCTGTCCCCGCGGCATTTCGCGCAGCACAATCAAATGTGTGGGTGTTATAATCAAATGGGAATCATACATATAACCATTCATATGGACCTCTTGGCACTTGAAGGCATTCATAATGTCTGGGGATTTTAAATAATTATTTAAGGTTACAATCTCTTTGCTATCACCTGGCAATTTTGTGGCAGCATTTGCTGCCGATTCTCTGCCATCTTCCAGCGCATGATTGCCCCCCTCAAAGTCACCATCATGTTCATCATCAATACTAAAGACGGGAGCCACATTGCGATACCTTTTACCATTCCTTTCGGCCGCCGATACATGTCGCTGTTGTACAGGCATTTGATTTGCCTGATTATTGCCATCCCCACCAGCTGCCGATCCTGCATTATTAGCACCATTTGTGGGATTTACAATAATATCCAAAAGTTTACCCTTTACCTCGGCCGTCTTAAATTTCATGACTTGTGAAAAACGATTGAAGAAATCCGACCCGCCCTGTTTCGAAGAGGAATCACGTTTTGCCTGCTGTCCCGTCTTCTGGCGCATTTGCACTCCCTCAAACAGCGAACCCGTACTGTTGCGTGTACAAACCAGACATTTTTTCGGCTCGTGATCTTCCAAACAATCGGCCATGTGATCACCAAAATAATCATGGATGGCATTATAGCCACCGCTTAGCAACGAAACATATTTGGTATTTTTCTGCAAAAATGATGCCACAACCATATGCGTATATTGGTCCTCTTCCACCCGGCCACTGCCCATGAAACACAAATGTTCACCGCCCGCATTCGAATTGGCCTCTATGGATTGTCTTTGAGCTGAGAGTAGACCTTGTACGGCCGTTGCAAATGCCACCGGCTCCTGCAGCATCAGGTTACAATCTAAATGGAAGGCAGTTGACAAATGGCCGGCATTATATTGTTCCGCTGGACGACAATCAACCAAAAAGAATCGCACCGCTTCTGTGGAGCTAAGGTCAATGGAGGAGTTTTCCACCAGTTCATAAACGGAGACGGGAAGACAGAGGGCCTGGGGGGAGATGAAAGGGGATGATTAGAAGTGATTTAATAACAACAATGTAAATTGATATGACGACTTACACCTACATCTACTGCACAGTAGATGACCTATATGACGACCAAAAGTGCTGTAGACGACCTATAATACCATCTACTGAACTGTATATGTCATATATGACCATCTTGGGCGGAGTAAATAACAAAAATGACCATCTACTGGACAATAGATGACCCATATAGATATATACTGAACAGTAGATGACATATCTGACCATCTACTAAACAGCAGATGACCTATATGGCCATCTACTGAACAGTAGATGACATCTATGACCATTTATTGTACAGTAGATGACATTTACGACCATCTACTGAACAGTAGATGACATTTACGACCATCTACTACACAATAGATGAACTATTTGATCATCTACTAAACAGTAGATGACATCTATGACCATTTGCTCCACAGTAGATGACACTTACGACCATCTACTGCATAGTAGATGTCATTTACGGCCATCTACTAAACAGTAGATGACATCTACGACCATCTACTGCATAGTAGATGTCATTTACGGCCACCTACTAAACAGTAGATGACATCTACGACCATCTACTGCACTGAAGATAACCTATATGACCATATACTGAACAGCAGATGACATCTACGACCATCTACTGCACTGAAGATGACCTATATGACCATCTACTACACAATAGATGAACTATTTGATCATCTACTAAACAGTAGATGACAACTATGACCATTTGCTGCACAGTAGATGACACTTACGACCATCTACTGCATAATAGATGTCATTTACGGCCATCTACTAAACAGTAGATTACATCTACGACCATATGCTGCACTGAAGATGACCTATATGACCATCTACTGAACAGTAGATGACATCTATGACCATTTATGGTACAGTATATGGCCTTTACGGCCATCTACTGCACATTGGATGACCTATATGGACATCTACCAAACAGTAGGTGACTTATATGGTAACCTACAGAACAGTATATGACATCTATGGCCGTTTATTGTACAGTAGATAGCATTTACGACCATCTACTGAACACTAGATGACCAATGTGACCATCTACCGCACCGTAGATAACCTCTATGATAATCTACTATGCTGTAGATGATCTACATGACCATACATTAGGCAATATTACCCTCTACTGTACAGTAGACACAGTAAATTCTGTCTATGATCTACTAAACAACAGATGACCTACTTGTCCATGTACTGCACAGTAGATGTCCTCCATGAACATCTACTGCACATTAGATGACCAATATGATCATGAATATATCCATCTTCCCTTCAGGCCATCATCTACTCTTCATCCTCACACTCACCTGTGACACCGAACATTCCTCAGGTGTTCCCTTTTCATTCTGCTTGCCATACAGAGCCTTCAAAAAGTCCGTTTTAAATGAGCTGGGCGTTTTCATTGAATAATACTGGGCCAATAGACAAAAATCCACAACATCGTCGGGCTCCAGAGCACATGGCATATTTGAAAGAAACTCTACGATTTGTTCCTTGGAAGAATCCTTCAATGCCAATATCTGTTCACGACCATTGATCAGGATGATTAGACCCAAAAAGAATACCAAAAATGGATCGGCATGTTGAAAGTACAAATCCCACATTGATAAGATCACTGAAAAACTACAGGATGAGGCAAACAGGCATTGAAACCATTGTTGCGAATACAAATCAGGGGAGATTTTCTTTGTGTCCAACATTGTGCATAGCTCCGGATCATGATACAGTATGAGCAGGCGAAAGACATGAAATACATTCCCCTTGGGTTTACAACCCTTCGGTATGTAGGTATCACGTATGGCTTCGAACAGATTGTAGGTCTCTGAACGATTCAATTTCAATGCCAGCAACGGCAGTAGCAACTCAATCCAACCATTGTCGGTCTCATATTGCAAATTACGATTTTTACAATAGAACGTCAATATGGATTCCAAATCGGATAGCACCGATACCTTGTCCTCATCATCATTCCCAATGCGTTCCAGCATCTTTTGACAGTCTTCTCTTAGCTTATTTTGAAAGGGTAGGTCGTAGATTTCATTGAACAGTGACATTTGGTCACTTTTGTGGCGCACATCGAGACACACTTGCCAGACGTCTGGGCGCAAGGCCTCTGGCAGGGATTTGCCTTGGCAAATGCCATAGATGTCGTTGACATTGCAGTCATCCAGCAAGGCGGATTCCAATTCAATGAGCCTGAAAGAAATACAGAAATGTTTGTGAGTTGGATATAGACAACGGCATTCATTAGAAATTCCAATCAGAAATGACTCACACGTAGTCAAGTCGTCTGTCCCCCGATTGAAATTTCTAGGCCAAGAAAATTGTCATTTCTTTATCTTTCGGAAATTGCAACACACATCAAAAGACGATAGCCAATGTAGTTCAGCTGAGGTGCGTACATGTGTGTGTGTGTGTTGCTGAAAGATAAGGAAAATTTCAATGTTTTGGCCCTTTTTTCGCCATAAATATTTCGTTTGTATTCTTGGCCAAGAAAAACATCTCCCACTGCGCCTGCAGTCAGCCGTTCGTTTCTTACCATAAATTGTCATCCATTCTTTATTCCACTTTCTTCCTCAGAATTCTTCTAGGTCGTCTTATTAGACAAAGTCAATCTTTGTTTACAAGAGACACAAACGGTTGCTTGTTATTATTTGTATTTATAATTAATAAAGGGACGTTAAAATTTTACGGAGAAACAAAAAAACCTATTTGTGAGACGTAGACTTTTGTCGTGTATTTTGATGTTTTTTTCCTGTGGAGAAAAATAGTCTATTTGACGTAAGCTTGTCAAATTGTCAAAAGTAAGTGAGCGTTTATTTTGCATCTGGCAATGCTGTGCACATAAACAGCCAGTGATGAGAGCACAAGGTACTTTCCGTTATTTATGTGTTAAATAGTGAAATGTAACGTTGACTTAACGTAGGATGCGTAAATACATAAAAACTCCTTCAAGGGGATAAGGAGAAAAAATTTTGCGGATTTAAGAGCTGAAATGAAAAAGAAAACTTCTAAAAAACAAAAGAACGGGATAAACAAATAAATAGGAGAATTGAGAATGAAGAAAAATATAAGTTTCAGTGATGACATCGAAATTGTTTCATAAGTACTTCTACTTCCTGAGTTTCCTGGCAAATAAAAATTAAAGTCCTTGTTACATGGATGTTTATGTTCATCAATTGGTTAGCATGCTTGTTATGCAAAGGCAACTTTCACTTTAACTCGCTCATCTTATCCTGCTTCTTGGGTGTATTCTTCTCCTCCTAAATTGTGATTCGTTTTGCACCCTAAATCGACAAATAGTCATAATTAATAAGGATCCATACCTAATTGTGGCATTTTTAAACCGATGTGTCGAATAACATCGTCTTTCTTTCTTTGTCCTTCTTCGCTTGGTAGCCTTATTTTCCGTGTTTTCTTCAATTTAATTATTTTTATACCCCACACCCCTAAATATTCGTCGTAGACCCCATAAAGTATATATATTCATGATCAGCATAAAATTATATGTCGATTTAACGATCTTCAAAAATTTGGCACAAAAATTTGTATTGTGTTTATGATGGTTGGTATATCGGTCCACGTTCTGGTATAGCCGCCATATAACAGTACCTCCGATTTTCGGTATTTTGATAATTTCGATTCAGGTACTCCTTCTGGTACCCCCCACACAAAATGTCAAGTTTTTCAAGGAAAATATTTTACTGCAAAGAAGGAGAGAGGATAGTCTGATTTTGTTCCAACGTTGCAAATCCTAATATTTGCTTCAGTGCTAGGTCAGATGCGAAAATGGACAATATCGCTCCACTCCATCAAGTACCACCCCAACAAAGTGTCAAAATTTTGAATAATTATAACTCTTTCAAAATGTAATGTAAGAATCCGACTGTCTTAAAATTTCACACATCCCAACATTTTTATAAACTCGAGATCTGGTGCTAAGATGGAATATATCGGTCCACTCCTTCTGGTAATTCCCCCACAAAAGGTCGAAATTTTCAACAAAAAAAAAAAAAAAACTTTTTCTGCACAGAAAGGGAAAGGATAATCCAATTTTGCTCCAACTTTGCAAATCTCAATATTTGCATCAGTGCTAGGTCAGGTGCGAAAATGGACAATATCGATCCATTCCATTAAATACCTCCCCCACAAACGGTCAAAATTTTGAGTAATTGTAACTCTCATAAAATGTGATGTAAGTGTCCGATTCAATTTACACACATCACAATCAACCCAAGGGCTGGTGTGAAAATGGAGTATATCGGTCCACACCTTCTGGTACCGCCCCACAAAGTGTCAAAATTTTGAATATCCATGAAGCTCATATAATGTGAAATTAACATCCAATTCTATTCAGACTTGGTACATCTCAATATTTCCACGAACACAAGATCTGTACAGATCGGACCATTTCTTCTGGTACCTCCTCCACATGGGGATAACAATTTTTGAAAAATAAGGCGCTCTAAAATGTTGAAATAAGCATTACATTCTCTTTAAATTTCACAGATCCAACCTTTTGTGCAGATAATAAATATCTGCGAACCCCTTCGTGTACCTTACCCACAAAGGGTCACAATTTTCAATACCGATATAGTCCAAACCTGGCACGTACCAATATTTTTATCATATTTATTTAGGTCCGATGTAAAATGGACCATATTGGCCCATTCCTTCGGAACCTACTCCATTGAGGGTCAACAATTTGAATAATCCAGATAATTAATTTCACTTTTAACAAAATGATGGAGACACAACTTTTCCGCTCGGCTCTTATTACAAATCTATATGGCTCGAAGGACCAAATGTAAACGAGACGAGAAAAACATCCGTAGTCTTAGAATGCCATTTCAAAGCCGGCTCAAAGAATCAAATTAAAAAGACGGGAAAGAAAGACAACCTTTCGGCCCGACTTGTATTATAAATCTTCAAGTGTTATTCCAAGTATAACCGGGCCGAAGGACAAAATGTTGAGATTTGGAATCAGGCTCTACGAAAATCTCCTGTTTCCTCATTTTAACCCAAAGCGATACATTAAGTGATCACCCATTTTATTTCGCCGACCTTAAAATTCTGTGCTTTTGATTGTGCCATGCTGACTTATCCTACTATATTCCATATCCTCTAACATGAGTATGTTTTTCTCACTTTAATTATTACAGAGGCATTTCAAAAATTGTTTCTCCTAGTACAAGTAACCCTTAAGAATTCATGAAATGTGTCAATATGCCCTACAAATTGCCATCACTGTTAGTAATGGGCGGCTACCATCTCACATTACATGCCATGTAACAGGCATGGAAAAGAAGAAGACATTGTGTGTTGTTTTCTTTTTATTCGGGAGAACTTTTGTTTGGTGTTCGTGTGTGAATGAACTGGATTGTTTTTATTGGCATTTTATCTCAAAACATTCCAAACAAAAGTAATTGTATAGAAATTCGGTAACAATAGCGAAGAAAGAGCAAGAAATTCCAAAAAATTGTGCCAATTTATCGTCAAAAAACATAGATAAAGTATAGCGTCCTGTTTTTGCAAAACTTTGCAGTCGTGCGTGCGTGTGTGTCGTTTTCGTCTTTTTTGCATTTGCATTTGCGAGTGTATGAGTGTCTTGTAAAAAACAAGAATCTTGTTTTTGTTTATAACAAATCGTCACGCGTGTAAACCAATTTCCTGTGTTTTCAAAACAATAAATTCTTAATAATTTGAAAGTTTTTGTAAAACAAGTAAAGGTAAGTTTTGTTTTTGTTTTGCTCCGGCATGAATCTTTGGGTATTTCCTTGTCCCCATACCATCGCTCATTGAGGTTGCAGAATTGTGTACATCCTTGACCCCATGTATGTTTCCTTTTTCCCCCCAACCACCATTCAGTGCAGTTTTGTTGCTCCTCCAAAAAAGGAAGAAGCAGAAATGTATGCAGTGACTCACTCACGCATCCTAGCATCCTTCTGATTTATGTGTTTGGTGTGGACATAGAATCCTACACTTCTCTTCTTTTAATTGCTGCTCTAAAAATAAACGAACCAGCAATTGTTTTAAGCTGCTTATTTATATGCTGAACATGAAATCACATCCTACGCTTCCTTTGAACTGTTGCTCTGACAAAAAGTTATTTTTATCTGCAACGGAAATAAGGATATTTTTGGAAATATGTTAATTGTTCAGTTGAACTTATTTATTGGGATCTCTGTTACTACACGTGCAAGTGGATAGTTGGTCAAGTTATTGGCTTAAATTTAGTTTAGAGAAAACTCTCGGATTTTTTTTTTGAATTTTTTTTCAATTCTTGTTCTAGGAAAATGTGTAATGAAAATTTTAAAAAGGAAAGAAATGTCAAATGAAACATTTTTTTAAAGGAAATATTTTCAAGAATCCAGCCCCAGAAGTAGGTATTTTTACCCATTTTAGTTTTTATTGGTCCCGCTGATAAGGGGGACAAGGATGCCAGCAAAAGCAAATCATAAAGGCCAATTTCACTTTTGTCGCCAGTAGCAAAAACTCTTGAGGCTTTACTCCTACCCAGCATCCGATGAAGTTATTCAGTTGCCAGCCATCATCACAGATTCCGTCTACAAGCCGTGGATTGAAGCAGAACAATCTGTGTCATAGAACAGTGTTGGTAGCTCTTGACCTATTTGAGGCATTTTATACCGTCAATCTTGGCACTCAGGGATTTCCTATGGTGTTGTGCTGTTGTGTTGTGAACTGTTAACCTCTACCTTTCCGGAATTTCGCGCCCTCTTGACGAGATCGTAACCTATGCAGTTGAAGATACGATCATGTCGGGGCCCTGGTGTTGATGAAATATTTGTCTGCGGAAATGAGAGAAGAGCTGAATGTGAAGATCGAGGGAAATAAAATTCTGACTACGAAGAACCCCAAGATCCAAGGGGTCACATTCGACAGCAGCAAAATTAGAAGTATACGATCATGTCGGGGCCCCGGTGTTGATGACATATGTGTAAAGTTGGACACCACCTGGTCTGCGGAAATGAGAGCAGAGCTGAATGTGCAGATTGAGGGAAATAAAATTCCGACCACGAACAATCCCAAGATCCAAGAGATCACATTCCACAGCATCAAAATTAGAAGTAGGAAAAAAAACTCCGCAAGGCGCTAACCGGCGGCACTAGAAGTTCTATGTTACCCCTGTGTGGTCTGCACTAAGAACAGAGTGCCTCCGCATGCCATCTGTGGACCATTTGAATGAGGAAGCGAAGGTCCCATAACCATATGCTTTTATTGCAGTACCTGCCTGGGTGTTATTGACGCCCACAATAATCAGACCATCATATGGAAGCACATACACGATATAGAGAGGGAGGCCCAACGATGTAAGAGAGAACCTCTAGATCAAGAATTCCGTCCTCGGAGTCCATTCCCATCTATTGCAGCTGAAGACGTATGCTGCCTGGAAAAGGGTGGTTTTGGCGCAATTACATTCAGGATGGCGCAGTCGTCTCAATTCGTATTGGGCAAGAATTGACGAAGATGTGATTCAGCCCCACACAATACGCTGCACCTTTTTAATTGCCCTGTTGAACCTATCCCACTCACTCAAAAAGTCCTCTGGTTACAGCACAGCCGGAAAACTTGGAAAACAGATTGGCAAAACCCGCAAAAACATGTGAAGGTGTTACAACAACAACAATCACTTGGTCTGCGGAGATACAACAAAAAATTACCTTTAGTAATTTGGGGTGGCGTCAGACGCCTGGTTAGTATAACCTCGAAAAAATGGTCAACGCGCGACAAGTGAACGCCGAAGATCTTGCA